GTGAATTCTATACATTGTAGAGTCCTTTTTACTTACTGTGTCTTCTCAACAACCATTTCCTTCTCTTTCAGAAATTTAGGAGTATCATTTTCATGATGTACTAAACTATGAAGTCATGGAGCATGTTGATATTAATCGGGGATTTTCACCATATTAATAACATACTTTACTTCAAATCAACTGACCAACCACATAATATAAAAAAAAAAAAGCTCAGGAAGTACAGAAATGGGACTTCAAAAGACTGAGCTGAATTCTGGGTCATATGAATCAGAGAAACCAAAAGACCTTCTGATTCATAGGGCTGCCTATGCATCTATAATTGATGTCAGCTATTTACTATGAAACAAACACACCTATTCCAATAACACAATTGTTGTTAACAGGTGTGGCACCACTCAAAGCTGCAGGTCATAACTATCACATCCTTGTTCTCACAAATTGTGACTGTAGGAATGAGTATATCCAACATGGCTGCTAGAGAAGCTTTTCAGTTTAGTCAGTATTCTAGCTTATTTGTGTTATAGTTATTTAGCTATAGAATCTTTTCTGACCTAATGGAGGACCTCAACAATGATGGGGACTCCTTGTCTTTATGGAGTCAGAATATTTGGATATCTTTACAGGGTAATTATGATAATCTAATACATATATACAGTGTGTAATAATCAAATCATGGTGAGAAGCATTTTTTCTACTCAAATATTAATCATCTTTATATTTGGGGGAAATTCTTCCTCTGCCAGTCATTTAAAAGATACCACAGATTGCTAAAGAACTGGAAGTAATTTTCTCATTCTGTGTTTCAGTTGTCTTCACTGAGTCTATTGTCCTTCCATCTCTGGGCCCCAAGACTCTTGGGAAAAGTAGTCCATGCTGTTCTTCTGCAACATTGAGTCGATTTATTGGTTACTGCAAATGACCGAAAGCATGGCCTCTTTCTTTCTTTTTCTTTCTTTCTTTCTTTCTTTCTTTCTTTCTTTCTTTCTTTCTTTCTTTCTTTCTTTCTTTCATTTTCTTCTGCTTCTGGATTACTTCCTTTAATATATTGACCTCCCTGGAATGGACTAATTTTTGTTGTTCTTGTTGTTGCCTGTGTTCAAAAAACACTTCAAAGATTTGTTTTTATTTATGTGTCTGTGAGTATATTCCTTATATGTGTGAGTACCCTCAGGGTCCAGAAGAGGGTGTCAATCCCTTGGAGTTGGAGCTACAGGTGGTTGTGAGTTTTCTAACATGAGTTCTGGAAACCAAATTTGGGTCCTCTGGAAGAGCATCAAGCACTCTTAACTGCCGAGCCCCCATTCCATCCTCCCATTGTATGGACTCTTGAAGGAATTCTTACATTTTGAGTTCATAGCACCCCCACATTATGGAATAAATAAATTAGCTCTGTCATAATTGTCAGCCCTCTGTATTGTTGTCTGAGTTTACCTGCTGATGATTTTTCTAGAATACTTATTTTGTAGGTTATTAGACTATTTTATATATTTATACTCTAGAATTCTGTTATTTTAGGGACTGTTCCATTTTGCTATCACTATTAGAAAAGTACCTTCTATCTCATCTAATGATTCTGATAAATGCAGTTGTGGGAACATAAATGTTAGTTAATGGCTACAGATGGGACAATATTAAATAGGAATGAAAAATCAATGAAATATTGAAAATTTAAAATGAATAAGTAAATTTAATAACATTTTCAAAATAAAATTTATTAATGAAATCATCTATAAAGATTTTCATATGTGTTACACCACCCCTTGACATCCCAGTTTCGTAGTCAGCAATGAGTTTGGTATCATGGTAATTGTGACTTAAAGATATTTTCTCTCATACAATGTCAGAGTGTTCTCGCTCCTTTTGCTTCATAATTCACTGATTGTAGACTGAGATATCTGCTTAAGAAATGATATGTATTCAACACTTATAATTGCAACTTCCTGAATTAGTAGTGTTATCTTGGAAGGAGTAGTTTGATAGACTTAGTTCCCCATTTACAAAATGTGGTACCAATTTCTTTTTTACAGAATCACTTAATCTCTTCAGTGACTAACACATATAAGGCATATAGCTCATTGTGATATTTTTCCCCGTCATGTTATCCAGGATATTAATTCAAATTGTAGCTCCAAATTTCATCTTGTATGAAAAGAATTTCCAGTTTTTTTCTTCTGCTGTTACAAGTTTCTACCATATTCTGTGACTGGACTCTGAACACAAAATAAGTACCACAGAATAGACAACTGGATTACTTTCCTTCTCTTATTATTGAGGTTATAGGTAGTGCCTTCATCCAACTAATATTTATTGTGTGCCTACTATGTGACACCCACTTTTCTAAACAGCTGAAGATAACAAACAGTGAACAAAACAGAAAACTCTTCGACCTCTTCTAGTTGGTAATCTAGTAGGACAGGCTATATTAAAGAGAAGTTAGTAGAATGTAGTTATCAACATGTGGTGGTAGATGGTGATATTGTTGAAGGTTAGAAATTGTCTAAATAGTGTTAATTTATGTTTATGTGGTGATGGTGAGGATCAGTTTTAATAATTTGCTTGTGTAGGTTGAGTTCTTATCTTTGACTCATTAAGTTTAAAATTTTTGAATTGTCAGACTGGTAAATTGCAAAAAATAAAATCAATTCATTATAGCCTTTATCAGCATTTCTTCTAGGCAATCTTTGAGGTTAGTACAGATGGGATAATCTAGGTATATTAGTTACTCTTGTCTCAACTGTGACAAAATACCTAAAAACAATTTAGGGAGGAAGGGTTTATTTTGGCCCACTGTTTTGGGGAATGTGATGGATCATGGTGGATAAGGCAAGGTATGGGAGCATCAGACCACTGGTCACATTGCAATCACAGTACAGAAGTAGAGAGAGATGAGTGAGGGTACCAAGCTCACTTCCTCTCTTCATTAAGTTTGAGGTACCTGTCCATGTGACTGGTGCTGCTTACAGTCATTGGAGGTCTTCCCTCCGCAGTCAAACCTTATGTCTCTTAGGTGATTTCAAACTTGGTCAAGTTGAGAATAAATTTTAAATTACCATACTGCATATTGTTTTGTTAGCTTTTAAGGCCTCTAATCTGGTCTATGTCATACTGCTATGAATTTCACACCTGATTTCATATGATCTCAGAAGCTAAGCAGGGTCAGACCTGGTTAGTACTTGAATGGGAGATTTTGGGTATTACTAAGTAATGTAAAAGGTTTCATCTTCCAGATTAATAAGAGGGACTCCAAATGAATGGAGATGGGGGAGAATGTTAGTAACTGGTTTTGACTAAGACCCACTATGACTTAAAACAGACAGTTCCCTTAGATGAATGAGGAGGAGTACAATGAGGTCTCCAGGCACAGTCTGTCAAGAAGACAACTATCATTGCACATTTCCAGTTTGAGTACAAATCATGACTCTTAGAATGAGATAGAAGTCAAAAAAAGTGAAGATTTTTCTAAGGTATTTAGGGACAATTAGGAAGCATTGACCAACATGGAAAATTCTTTAGTCACTTTTAAACTTTAATTGAAAGACACAATATGTATCTAAATGAGTCTTTTACTGTGTTGTCAGTACCCACCATGGTCGAAGCCTTCTCTAAATCTCTTAACTTTGTATATTATGTTAGTTGCCTTTCTTGGATATGTATCTTATGTCAACTCAATATCTCCATGCTCCTAAGACAGTCTTAATGTGACTGAAAACTAGTGAAGACAAGTGCTATTTTGGTCAAATTCCTAAAATTTCCACATGTCATCACTATGCTTACTTCACAGACAATGCCTTTATGGAGAGTTGTTTCAGGAGCTCTTTTTCCTTTTTTTTTTTTTTTTTTTTAAGACAGGCTTTCTCTATGTAGTTTTGGCTGTCCTAGAATTTGCTCTGTAGACCAGGCTGGCCTTGACCTCAGAGATCCACTTGTCTCTGACTCTTGAGGGCTGGGACGAAAGGTGAGCATAGCCACACCTGACTGTTACTTGTGTATCTTGTTTCTCTTAAGTCTGGACTAAGTAATAATTTTTTTAGTACACCGGGACTTCTTGGTCTTAATTGACAAGATACATTTAATTAACCATCTTTATCTGGCAATTATAACATTTAAATGTCCATTCCTGACTTTTCTGCCAAACTTAATATTTGTCTTCTCAGCATCTTCACTTGGGTTTCCCACTGATCTCACAAACTCCACAAGACTCTTATTTTTTCCTGAAAACCTGCTTACTAACAATCGTCTACTTCTAAATTGATTTCAGTTTTCTTTTTACTTGTTTAGTCTCCAAAGACTGGAATGATTCTTCAGCTTATGAGACTACTCTTTTTTAAATTACAAAATGCATTCAGAATCTAACCATGCCTTACCAATATCGTCAACCATCAAAGCCCTACTATACATTACTTGAATAAATGCATTCCTTGCTGATTTGTACATATAGTCTTGCCTTATATAGAGTGCATTCTTGGAATAGCAGCCACTGTAAATGAGATTGTGTCACTATTCTATTTTAACTTTGTCATGAATCCCGTTTCATGTAGGATAAAGCCTCAAATTTGGAAACTCTAAATTTTAGAAAGTTAGGGATTTTTTTTTTTTTTAGAATCACCTGTCATATTTATTCTAGAATGATAATTGAAATCAAATACATTTGGGCACAGTAGTTATTTGACATGAAAAGCAGTTGTATCAGAATGGTCATCAGAAAAATAGTAACATTTTACACAAATGAACTAGAAAATATTTTTCTGTCTGATCACTTGAGTTAGAAATCCTGAGAATGTTACTAACTGAACTATTAAGTTCTACCTCATAACTGAAATTTGCTTAGAAATGCTCTGAGGGCCAGGCAGTGCTGGCTCGTGCCTTTAATCCCAGCACTCTGAAGCAGAAGCGGGTGGATCTCTCTGAGTTGGAGGCCAGCCTGGTCTTTAGAGTGAGTTCCAGGATAGCCAGGGATACTCAGAGAAACCCTGTCTCAAAAAAACAAAAACGGAACAAAACAGAACAAAAAAAGGTCTGATGTACAAATCACCTACATATTCAACATGAGTCCTCTACATTTTACAAAGGATTTAAACAAATAAATTGAATTCTTATAGGCCTCTGGCTCTTGAGATGGTATCAGTCAGGCTTAAAGGACGCACTGTTCCACAATTTCCCGTAGGTTGGGATTCTCCATTGCAGCTGCTACTCGCTCTTTGTCATTTATCTGCTTGTTGATGTCTTCTTCTGTGGAGTGAGTTCTTTCAGAAATGTAGATTTCCAACTTGTGTTTGAATGGCAGGCACCGCTGAAGTTTTACTCTCAAGCACAATCCAATAAGAGTTGCCAGAGAGCAATGAGGTACTGTTGGCATGAACTTGATAATAACCAAATAGTCTTCTTCATTTATTTCTTGAACCTCCACACAACTCTCTGTTACTACTTCAAGTTCTTCTAAAGTATTGGGTTTTTCAGGGTCCTGAATAGTTCGAATCAAATCATAAACTTCTAGCGCTTTTTCTTCCATGATCCGGGGCAGCCGGGCAGCTCCCTGCTCAGAAAAGCCTGAGAGCCATAGAACTCTGCTCAGCGTCCAGGAGAGCAGCCCAGACACACCCTCCATCCTCACGTTCTGCCATCCCTGGCGACTGTCCTAACCAAGCCACCGTCTTTCTGCAGCCAGCCTCAGGAGCTATCAACTTCATAGGCTTCAAATAAACTAAGACATGTGTAAAGGTTTAGAGGAGCTGAGAGTAGGGAAAGTTAGGGATTTTAAGCTCCTAGACATAAATTGATATTAGTGACTCCTCTGTTTTGTGGTCTGAATGTGAAAATAAATCAGTGTTACTGTGGCAAGTAAGACAGAATCATAAATTTTAGGAACTCATAATCAGTACAACTTCCCAGGAACACAGCATATTCTTACAAATTGACTTCTGTTGAAAAGATTTGTCAAGTTAGTCAATGGAGACTATCTGTAGAAAGAACGGTCTACTATGAAACTGAATATGGAAAAAGGAGAGATTGATTGGCCAGGAATCAAACTGTTCTTTTTCAGAAGAACTTATAAACTTACTGAATGTGATCAATGTGTAGCCAAAACCAATTGCACTAAGTGTGAATCATTCCTGGTTATATAAACTTTCAATCTCTCTATCTCTCTGTTTTGTATTACTAAACTCGCCCTTTTAGTTCCTGTCAGAAATATTTCTCAATTAATTTTAAGATAAAGTATTATCAGAAACATTCTCTTTTCTTTAGTTTCCAGGATCAGGCAGTAGAAGAGGGTTTGGCTCTAGGTGTTTGGCTACCTTACTGCTTGTGACTCAGTTGGAAGTACATAAAGGGTGAGCACTGGGGGAATCCAAGATGGCTGCCCCTAGAGGACACTATGCCTGATGAGCAGGACAGGAGTGACTGCACAGCAACCAACAGACCGAACTGTGGGCCCTAAAACACCAGTGATTTTGTTTCCCAGGTGAGAGGAAACCCCACGGTGTGGGAAGCAATCAGTTCCATTTTCAGGTCACCCAGCTAAACCCTAGAAGAGTTCCAGAGTCCCAACGGGCACTTGGTTGCCATCCCAGAGCCAGGTGCCTGCCTTCACTGAACACCATCCCAGAGTAAAGTTTCAGCCCCACAACACCAGAGACTGGGTTTTCCCAAACCCCAAGGTGAAGGAAATATCAGGTCTGACCTCAGAGCATCCAGAAAACCCCCAAGCCCCCAAAAGTTCCCAGTAAAAGTTCCCAGGTTCCTGCAGGTACCCAGGCAATAGAGCCAAGGCACTCACCTGTGCTTGTGTGCTCTCCCCATCCCAGACTGAACTGTGGACCCCAAACACCACAGACTGGGTCTCCAAGTTGGAAGGAAATCTTATGGTGAGGGAAACATTGGTCCAACCTCAGGACATACAGGTAATCCCCAGAAAAGTCCCTGGATTCCTACAGGCTCCGGGCTCTAGTCTCCGGCCACACCTAGGAGTGTTGCACTCACCTGCTACTGATTACTGCTTGGATACTGGGGCCACAGAGCTAGAACCTCAGAGCGACAGATACCTAGGACCCATAGGATCAGTCCCCAGATGCTGCTCCTGAGCACAACCTGTCTCCCTAGCTAAACTGACCAAACCTTGGAGTTCCCTGGTTCTTCAAAAGGGCTGCCAGGCAAACACAGTGTAAGAGCAGCAACAGCAGCTCACTAAATTCTGAATAAGAAACCCAGTGGCAGGGCAGCCGTCTTTAGTACTTCTCCAGGTGAGAGGAGAGCCCCCTGACTAACAATGACCCCAGTTACCTCACAGCATCATACACCTGAGGTGACCTGTGGCAATTCACTGAGAAGTACCAACCATTTGGTGACCATACCCAAAAGGCTGAGGAGAACAACCTTCAGGAACAACCAAATTCCTGCCAAGGGGATTCTCCTCACCCCAGGATTCCAGCAGGCATCAGAAACTAACAGCCAACACCTGAGACAGCCAGATGGGTAGAGGCCTGTGTAAAAGCACAACCAACAAAAGCCAAAGCAACATGCCGTCTACAGAAACCAGTTATCCAGGGGAAAGTAGATCTGAACACCCTAACATAATTGAAATCCAAGAAGATGACCTTAAATCTATGCTTATGAAGAGATTAATGGAGGAAACAATAAAATGCATAAAGAAATAGAGGAAGATAAAGTCAAACAGATTATGGCCATCTGTAAAGACATACTGGAAGATGCAGCCAAACAGTTTGTGGCCTTTAGAGAGGAAATAATTAAAACAGTAAAAGAAATAGAGGAAAGTTCAAACAAACAGGTGAAAGAATTGAAGGAAAAGCAGGAAAATATAGTCAGATAGGTGAAGAAAATCAACAAAATGGTACAAGATCTGAAGATAGAATTGGAAATATTAAAGAAAACACAAACAGAGGAAATCATGGAGAGGGAGAACCTAGGAAAGAAAACAGGAACTACAGAGGTAAGCATAACCAACAGACTACAAGAGATGGAAGAAAGAATCTCAGGTGTAGAAGATACAATGGAAAAAAAAAATCAATGTATCCACCAAAGAAAATGTTAAATCTAAAAACTTACTGACACTAACCATCAAAGAAATCCAAAACAATGTGAAAAGACAAAACCTAAGAATAATAGGTTAGGACATTGTAGCCAGTCCTGAAGATACCTGATAAGCTAGGGTCAGATGGAAGGGGAGGAGGACCTCCTCTATCAGTGGACTTGGAAGGGGGTAGGGAGGAGATGAGGGAGGGAGGGTGAAATTAGGAGGGAAAGAGGGAGGGGGCTATGGCTGGGATACAAAGTGAATGACCTGTGATTAATATAAAAAAATTTAAAAAAGATGAAGATAAAAAAGAATAATAGGAATAGAGGAAAAAGAAGATTCCCATGTCCAAGGCCCAGAAAATATTTTCAACAAAATTGTAGAAGAAAATTTCCCCAATTTAAAGGAGAGGCCTATAAGCATACAAGAGGCCTACAGAACACCCAATAGATTAGACTAGAAAAGAAAATCCTTCCGACACATAATAATCAAAACAGTAAGTATACACAATAAGGAAAAATGATCAAAGCTGCAAGAGAAAAAGGCCAAGTAATATATAATGACAAACCCATCTAATCACACCTGACTTTTAAACAGAGGAAGACTATGAAAGCCAGAAGGGACTGGAGAGATATGACACAGACCCTAAGAGAACACAGATGTCAGCCCAGGCTACTATACCCCACAAAACTCTCAATCATCATAGATGGAGAAAACAAGGTATTCAACAACAAAACCAAATTTAAACAATATCTACAGACAAATCCAGCCTTACAGAAAATACTAGGGGGAAAAATACAAGAAAGCTAACTACATTCAGGAAAACACAGGAAATAAATAACCTCACTATTTTTAGCAAAACTAAAAGTAGCCAAGCACACAAACACACTACCACAACCGACACCAAAATAAAAGGATCTAACAGCTACTGGTCATTAATATCTCTCAACATCAATGGACTCAACTATCCAATAAAAATACACAGACTAACAGAATGGATGTGTAAACAAGACCCAACAGTCTGTTGTATACAAGAAACACACCTAAGACACAAAGATAGACATTACCTGAGAGTAAAGGGCTGGAAGACAGTTTTCCAAGCAAATCTACCCAAGAAGCAAACAGGAATAGTCATTCTAATATCTAATAAAATAGGCTTTCAACCAAAATTAATCAAAAGAGATGGAGAGGGACACTTCATTCTCATCAAAGGAAAAATCCATCAAGAAGACATCCGAATTCTGAACATCTATGCCCCAAATACAAGGGCACCCACATTTGTAAAAGAAACATTAATAAAACTTAAACCATACATAGATCCCCATATGTTAATAGTGGGAAACTTCAACACCCCACTCTCAACAAAGGACATGTCAAAAAAACAGAAATTAAACAAAGAAACAATGACACTAACAGATTTCATGAATCAAATGGACCTAAAAGATACATATAGAAGTTTTCACAAACACAAAAGAATTTACCTTCTTCTCAGCACCTCGTGGAAACTTCTCCAAAATAGACCATATAGTTGGTCACAAAGGAAGCCTCATCAGATAGAAGAAGATTAAAATAATCCCTTGTATCCTATCAGACCACCATGGACTAGACCTCAACAATAGCAGAAATAGCAAAAAGCCTACACACACATTGAAACTGAACAACTCTCTACTCCTTGACAGCTGGGTCAGGGAAGAAATAAAGAAAGAAATTAAAGACTTCCTAGAATTCGATGAAAATAAAAGCACGATATACCTAAACTTATGGGACACAATGAAAGAAGTGCTAAGAGGAAAGTTCATAGCATTAAGTGACTTCATAAAGAAAGTCAAAACATTTCATACAAGCAACTTAATGGCTTACTTGAAAGCCCTAGAAAAAAAAAAAAGAAGCAGACATACCTAAGAGGAGTAGATGGCTGGAAATAATCAAGCACACAGCTAAAATCAATAAATTAGAAACAGAAAACAACACAAAGAATCAATGAGACCAAGAGCTGTTTCTTTGAGAAAATCAACAAGATAGACAAACCCTTAGCCAAACTAACTAAAAGGCAGAGAGACACTACCTAAATCAACAAAATCAGAAATGAATGGGCTACATAACAACAGACACTGAGGAAATCCACACAATCATTAGGTCTTATGACAAAGCCTATGTGCCACAAACTTTGAAAATCTAAATGAAATGGACAGTTTTCTTGATTGATTCCACTTACCAAGTCTGAATCTAAACTAGGTAAATAAATTAAATAGTCTTTTATCTCCCAAGGAAATAAAAGCTGTCAGCAAAAGTCTCCCATCCAAAAGAAAAACAAAAACAAACAAACAAACAAACAAAAAGTCCCAGGGCTAGATGGTTTCAGCACAGAATTCTACCATACTTTGAAAGATGAGCTAACACCAATACTCTTCAAACTCTTTCACAAAATAGAAACAGAAGGAACATCACCAAACTCATTCTATAAAGCTACAGTCACTTTGATTCCTAAAACCTCACAAAGATCCAACAAAGAAAGAGAATTTCAGGGCAATCAATCTCCCTTATGAACATTGATGCAAACATACTCAACAAAATAC